TATGATGCCACTTCTGCTGTTACAAACAGTTTGTTTTTAGATTCTCCAAAGCTTCTTGTCTTTGAGTAACTAAATCCTATTTTCTTCCAAAGGATTGTTTTATGTTGTGCCATAGAAGTTTTGGAAGCGTTAGTATTGTTGTGAAAATGTGTTCTGATATAGCGGAACTTGTTTGATGTCAAATTTAAAAGTGACATGAGCAGTTAATTTGTCCATTTCACTAAATGGCTGGAATTTCCATACATGGAGATCTCTTCTCTCTCTGTATTTATTTCTCTTTCACATGAGGTTGTCATAAATCTTGGGTTGTTCCAGGTTTCAATTAAATTCGTTTAGAGCAATATAATTAGCTTCTCTACAGATGACCTAGAAATTTCTTACTCCCATAATTTGTATGTTTATGTCATATTTAATCCTTTTGTATGTAAATCCCCTCAAACTCTTATCGGCCATCAAGTTGCATATTTATTAAGAATGTGTAGGATACATCTATTTTCTTTTCTTTTGAATGTCCGTTACAGATGATGGAATAAAGCATGACATATAGTATCTGTTAAGCTGTTTTTGCTTTGATTGCTGCAGAACAAAGTCGGTTTTCCTTCTGTAATTTACTATTGTTGACATAGTTTTCTCTTTTTGGCTAATTTGCTATAGGTGCTCCTATTCTCAGCCACCTTCAATGAAACTGTGAAGGAGTTTGTATCAAGGGTAGCACCGGATGGAAATCAGATTTTCGTGAAGAAAGAGGATCTTACTCTAGATAAAGTAAAGCAGTATAAGGTCCATTGTCCAGATGAACTTGCCAAAATGGAAGTAATAAAGGATAAAATCTTTGAATACGGACAAAAGGTGGGTCAAACAATTATATTTGTTCGCACCAGGGAAAGTGCTAGGATGTTACATCAGGAGTTGGCTAAGGAGGGTTACAAGTGTACATCTATACAAGGTGCCGCGAAACAAGATGAGCGGGACAAAATTATAAAGGAATTTAAAGATGGATTAACCACAGTCCTCATTACAACTGATCTCCTTGCTCGAGGTTTTGACCAGTCGCAGGTATCATTCAATGCTATTATATACATGTAGAATCTAGATTAATAAGATGTCGGTTAAGTATGGAACGATTTAACAAATTGTACCCTGCAGGTCAACTTGGTCGTTAACTTTGATCTTCCTGTTAAGTACCTCTCTCCTCATGATCCTGATTGTGAGGTGTACTTGCATAGAATTGGTAGGGCAGGACGTTTTGGACGAAAAGGTATTTATTCTGAGTACATTATATTTATTTCTCTTTTCATTGGTGTGAAGTACTGAAGTTACTGATACATTCTCTCACCACTGGTTTCGATGAGTTCTCCCAAGTTTTTTGTTTCTTATTTAAGGTACTGCAGTATATGTCTTATCGTGATTCGTGACTTTAGAATTTAAGGAATTTGCATTGAGTAGCAGTTGGGTTTCTCTGTATAGATGCACCCACCGACTCACCACACGTACGCATCGATGCACCTGTTTGCACACATGAGATTTAGTGCTGAGTGGGAAAAAAATGAGATCACACACACAGGATGCAATGCTGATGAAACTTTTTGAGTAAATGAGATTGCACGCAAACGTGGGATGAAATGCTGAGCAAAGTTTCTAAAAAAATGATATCAAACACACGGACGATGCAGTGCTATTTTTTTTAATGAGATTATGGACATGCGATGCTCTGCTTGGTTGATTATTCTTCTAATTATGGGGCGTGCGGTAGTCAACTTAAGAATCTTAGGTTTGGAGGTGAATTTCTGTCTCTTGATTGTGAAGTTTGTTTGTGTTGGAAAAAAAATAATATTTTAGCTTTACTGGACAATTTTGGAAAAAAAATAATATTTTAGCTTTACTGGACAATTTTGCACTGCAAAAAATAATAATATTAAGCTTGAGTTGGCAGTTCTGTGTCAGTTTTGTTCTATGTTGCATGGGCACTTCTATCATGAAACTGTACCCACACCCGACACCCATACCCGTACTCGATTCTCCTTGGACACTCCTTGACTATATGCATACATTTACTCAGGCAAGTACTCAATTATATAATGCATTTTTTTAGTTTAAACCACTCACTTATATAATGCATAATAAGAGAAACATAAAATGTTAAAGAAAATTTGATTCTCGTAACATGTGACTGAAAAAACAATACTGATATCATGTAACTTATTAAATTTCACTGTGTATATAGCTGTGTTTCTATACCCTATTTTTTTTATAAATTTGTCATGTCCCATATCTGCACCTATATCCATACATATGCAACATAGTTTTTGTTGCATCAAAAAATACATTCATTTGACCTCAGTTTTGGAGATTCACTTCTGGCTCATGAAAATTGAGAAGTCTGTTTTCATCGCAAAAAATAATAATTAAGTTTTACTTGACAATTTTGTGTCAGCTTCTTCTCCTTCTTCTTCTTCTTCTTTGCATCAAATGATTCACTCATTTTGTTAAAGCAAATCGTTAGAAAGTGCTATTTGATTGTGTATTGAGTTACATTTAAAATGGTATGATGTTGTAATGGTGCATGCTTTTAGAATTTAAGAGTCAAACAAAGAAGAAACATGTACATTCCCATACAGCCAACTCATGCATGCCCGTATTATCATTGTGGATGCAAAATGTCAGTTTTAGTAGTAATTCCCATTTTTCATTGGCTTTGTCATGAAGTCCCTTCCCATGCACCAAAGCTCTGTAGATGTATTGAGGATGAGAGTAATAATTTATATTGATTGATATATTCTAGCATGCCCCATAGATTGATTGCTGTTTTTATGGGCCTGTAGATAAAACAATTTTGATCTCAATTTTCTTCTTAATTTTTCCACAAACAGGGCCCAAGGCCCTGCATCAGTATCTTACTTTCCAAATGTTCTTCTAAATGCATGACCGATAGAATTTGAACTTGCATTGGTCTGATATCCATTTTAAAGCCTCTCTGTCGCACCCAAACTCCAAACCTATGGCAGGTGTGGAGAGTCACAATTTAATATTCACAAATTGTTTGTTTGGTGACAGGTGCTGCATTCAACCTGCTGTGCACAGAGAGGGACAAGATTGTCATGGAAAAAATTGAGCGCCATTTCAATAGCGTTGTTCGTGAGGTATTATTTAAGTGTACCCTGCTTCGCTTCCATTTGTATCTAATCTGTTTGTAAGTGCCTTTTATGATAAGTTTCTTTTTCTGCTACTTTTTTAGGTGCCTAATTGGCGAAGTGACGAGGACTTTGAGGCTGCCCTTAGAGATGCAGGCCTGCTTTAGATCAGAGAAACTCTAACTATATATATTTATATGAGAGGCATTAGATCATAGCAATGTGCATAATAGTTGCTTTTGGCAAGCTATTTACCATTCTTTCTTTGGGTCTTGGTGTGAAATTTCTACTTCTTGGGCAAGAGTGTTTTCTACATTTCGAACTTTATATCCTTGGTCAAATGATAATTAGTTTTGGAATTACTGTTCTTTATGGTTGTCAGATTCTCAATGTGTATAGTAGCCGCTGTTAGCCTGTGAAATGTCTGCAATGTAATTTGTATTTAGAACTGAAGGACTGTTGTTTTTCCCTTTTCACTGTTATTCTCAAAGATGTATTATTTTGTATGAAGTTATTTTTGTCTAGTTAAAGTAGAAGACACGGAGCTCTGCTCCATGCATCGAGCAGTAAGCATTGAGCAATCTGCGGATCCAGATTTGTTTTCTTGGATCCTTTATGGGCTGCGAAATTTCATGCAAATTGTTCTTTTAATTCTCGTGGTCTTTGTTGGTAGACGTTGATGTAGCTGACTCAACGTCTCATCAAAAAAGGTTTGTGTTAGGCGATGGAGGTTAATTCCTGCAGAATCTTTGGAACTTCAAAAGAGCTGGGGATGTACAACATTTTCAAAGTGCTGATGGGAGTGATGTCTTGTATTTTTGAGAGTGCTAAGTTGGAGTTTGCCTCGCTTTTAAAGGATCGTGGCGTGGACGTAACGCTTTTAGTTGAGCAAGGTAGCATGGCGATGAGTAACGTTGGTGTGGGAGAACAACAATTTTGGTGTATTCTTAAACCACCTCTCTACCAATTAGCAATTGGCATAGATCACAGGTATGTTTGTGAACATATCCCCTATAGTAGTATCATCCAATTTCTAAGAGACCCTTGCAATTTTATTTGTTGTGAATAGACCCCTGTAATTCTACTTGTTATGAGTAGACTCTTTGAGTGAATTTATTTAGTGGAATTTTCAAACAATTTCTCTTGTGCATGGACCCCCATGATTGCCGCCCTGCCCTCTCCTCCTGACCCCGCTTCCCCTACGGCCCGGGCTACCCCCTATTCCTCTCCCCAAGCTTCCTGTCAACCTTATATTCGTTAACTGATTGAATTTTATTGCAGACTATTTGAGGGTATAATTGACAATAGAAAATCGAATTAGGAGCAAATTTATAACTAGGGTAAATCTTACAAAACTCCAATAAACTATAGGATTTTTGCAGGAAGCTATCAAGAACTTTCGAAACCTGACTAACAACGCGTGTACATTTGGCAATGAACTGTAGGATTTTTGCAAAAAACTATCAATAACTTTCAAAACCTGACAAACAACGCGAACTTTTTTCACAAAACCTTTTCTCCAATTGAATTGACAATTCTCTGTAATTAAAGTTAAAAAATATATGAATTGACAACTCTCTGGTATGAATTGACAACTCCCTGCAATTAAAGACGAATGGTTGAATTGACCAGCCTATGCAATTAAAGACAATGCATGAATTGACAACTCTCTGTAATTAAAGACAACGGGTTGAATTGACAAGTCTCTGCAATTAAAGACAATGCATGAATTGACAACTCCCTGCAATGCATGCCATACGCCACATGTCGTTCCAATTGCATGTTTTTGAACAAATGTTTTCATTATAAATGCTGACCAAATGCACAACTTGGAGTATACCTATCAACATTTTTTCTACATACCCTCCAATGGATCCAAACCTAAATGAATTCAATCTCGAATACTTCCAACAAGAATGGGAGTTAGAAGATAAAATGTTTGATAGGCAACAAGAACTGCTTGAAGAGTTGCTTAGGAGAGAAGAACAACCGCGCAAGAGAAAGTCCATATATAGAGATCATCAAGCAGCGCATGAGAGGCTCATGGCCGACTACTTTGCCGAATCATGCACATACACTGATGCCCAATTTCGACGAAGGTATCGAATGAATAGGCCTCTCGTTCTACGAATTGTGGATTCTATGTCAAATTTTGACGTTTACTTTACACAACGTCGTAATAATGCGGGCAAGCTTGGTTTAACCCCTATCCAAAAGTGTACTGCTGCCCTACGCATGCTCGCATATGGAGTAGCAGCTGATGCTTGTGATGAGTACGTGAAGATAGGAGAATCTGCTGCGGTTGAGTGTACTCAGAGGTTTTGCAAAGGGGTAATAGCCTTGTTTCAAGATGAATACTTAAGACGACCCAATGTGCAAGACTTGCAGAGGTTAATCCAAGTTGGACAAGAGCGTGTTTTCCCAGGGATGATTGGAAGTATCGATTGCATGCATTGGCAGTGGAAAAATTATCCAAAGGCTTGGCAAGGGCAGTTTACTAGTGGACACAAGGGCACATCAACAGTTATTCTCGAGGCAGTTGCGTCATATGATTTGTGGATATGGCATGTTTTTTTTGGGCTTCCTGTTAGTTTGAAAGACATAAATGTACTAGATAGGTCACCCGTTTTTGATGACATTGAGTCTGGTGAAGCTCCAAGGGTAAACTTCACTGTTAATGGACGACAGTACAATATTGCATACTATCGTGCTGACGGAATCTACCCAAAATGGCATGTCTTCGTCCAGTCAATTCAAATGCCCCAGGGATCCAAACAACAATGTTTTGCCAAACAACAGGAGTCATGCAGGAAGGACGTGGAGCGCGCATTCGGGGTTCTCCAAGCACGGTTTGCTATTGTCCGCCAATCAGCTCGAACGTGGGATCTTGAAATCTTAGGTAAAATAATGAGGGCGTGCATTATATTACATAACATGATAGTGGAAGATGAACGAGATTCGTATTCGCGAAACTGGGAAAATATCGACTTTGAACCGTCAAACAATCCTAGCTCTTCCGCCTCTTCCAGTGTTCAAACAGATGTATTGCCTGAGTTTCAAGTCCATGTTCAAGACCGATCCGGATCGGATAATCATACTAGAGCCGAACTACGAGATAAGAGCCAACATATTCAGTTGAAAAAGGATCTCATCGAGCACATTTGGCAGAAATTTGGAATAACATCTGATTAGATTTACCAATTTAATGTGTGTTTTCTTTAATGTTTTCAATAATTTGTGTGTGTTTGACTTTTCCGTATGCTTAATAAAATCGTGTGTTTTTTTGTTAATATAAAAATATTATCAAAAATTAAATTAATAATATATATTATTTATGTAAATATTAAAAAATTATAATTATAAATAAATGAGTTATATTAGTAATAATAATAGTAGTAGTAGTAATATATATGAAATAAGAAAAAGAAATGAATAAATAAGGTGGGGTATATATGTTGGAGTGATGGGGTTATAGTGGGTCCCAAATAAAGTAAAAATCTTTTGAAAAAACTCCTGCTGTAGAGATGATAGAAAATAGAGATTGTTGAATTATGTGGAGGGGGAATAAAGTGATGTGGCAGGAGAGAGAAAGTTAAAATTTCGACTCCTGCTGGAGATAGTCTTATATTATAACACCACTAACTTTGACGTGTCACGTACCCGACCCATATAAGTCCAAAACACTAAACTGCTCCTACTAAACCCACAAGACCTCTCTTTGCCCTTACCAAAGTCTCACCCCCCCCTACACGTCTTGTTTTTACTGATACATCGGGAGTTATTGCACGTATTGCTTAACGTAAAATAGTGGATTTGTTAATCATATGTAATTAGAGTTTAATTTGATTAGAAGGTTAACTTTTAAAAAGGTTATTTTGGTCTTTTAACCAAAGCACTAGCTCTGTTTGCTGTGTTGTTAATAAAATTGAAAATTAGGGGTTTTGAGGTGTACACGTACCCCAGAGTTCAGAGATGTTTTCTTTAATTTTTGGTAGTTTTTTCGGCAAAAGGCCATGGCTGTTCAGTTCTATTTCTCCCTAAATTTACCCAATAATTTAGATTGGTTTGATCCTACATATTAACTTGAAATTATTTCGTCTAGTCTCAGGAAATCAGAATCACAATTTGACGCAAGAAAAGCAAGCGAAGAGATTATGAGTTTAATTAACTTCTAGTATTCTAAAAATTTCAATGCTCTTAAAATCGGTACCTCAATTGACAATATGCTAGTTTAGCATGAAATTTAATTTTTGTTGTCAATTTCTTCATTTATTAGTTTATTTATAATTGAAATATATTTAAAATATTTTCTTAATGTTTATTAAATTTTTGCTCAAGAACAAGAATTTCTGGAATTTTTCAGTTAGGAGATTTTTTTAAAAAAAGACCCTTTTTAGAAATTTATTAGCAAAATCACCCTATTTTTTATATAATTAGCAAAATTGATATTTTTTTAGCCAATGTCGATTTTTCAAAAATGAAGCTTTAAAATATACGAGATTGCTAGTACCATGTATTTAGTAGTGCCTAATTACACTCCAATAGAATATAGTTAGCCTCGTGTATTTTTAAAAGTTTAATTAGCATATGATTAGCCAACTCTAATTATACGGGACTACCAGTCCCGTATATTTTAAAAACTATATTTTACAAAATCGATTAGAGAGGTAGATTTTACTAATTAAATCCACAAAATGTCGATTTTACTAAAGAAGTCCCGAAAGAGTCTTTTAAAAAAAAATCCCTTTTAATTATAGTACATCCAAAATATTTCACGTGTATTGCGACTCCATCTTTATCACTCATTTGTTGGACAAATTTTCAAAACCAACCGTTTTAGGAATTTAATTGCAAAAACCGACCGCTTTTGATAAAAATTGCAAAAACCGACATGTTTTCAGCCCAGCGCTAAAAACAGGTCGGTTTTTGTAAAAAATTCTCCGAAACATCACGGGAGTTCAACTCCCGTGAAGTTTATGGAGAAATTAAACTTCACGGGAGTTGAACTCCCGTGAAGCTTAATTTGTGGTTAAAACTCCACGGGACCGTGGAGTTACAGTCAACCATTCCAGAGACTCGATCTCTGGAAAATTGGCACTGCAACTTCACGGGAGTTGAAATCCCATGAAGTTGCAGGTTACCCAGCATGCACAGCTGCTGTGCAGGTTTTGTATATTTACCTGTAACTCATATATATGCCAATTTATTTACAAACAACAATATATACATAATTCAACCATGAATTATAACTCATATATATGCCAATTTATTTGTAAACAACAATATATACATGATTCAACCATGAATTAAACACACACGATTATGTATATGAACAACAATTTATCTTCAAAAGTTCAGTATTTGAAAATTCAGGAAAGTTACAAAATTTATCAAAATAAGTTCATATACAACCCAATATAGCTCCCCTCCTTCCTCTCCCTCTCTTCCCCCTCCCCCTCGCTCTTCCCCGCCCCCTGGGTTCCTGCTGATGAGCCTCAACTATCTGAGTATCAGGCTGTGTATGAAGCTGTGAAGTGCCGGCTCCATCGGCATGCGAAGTGCCGGCGTCATCGGCATGCGAAGTGCCGGCTCCATCGGCATGCGAAGTGCCGGCGTCATCATCACGCGGCCGTCGACGTCGAGCGTACGCCCGTCCAAATGAGCGAGACCTGTCCTCACGGCCTGCGAACTCGTCGACGTGAGTCTTATGGAACACCTGCGCTATGCTCTTCTTGATCCTGCTGAGGAGACCTAACACCACCTGATCCTGAATCTCAGTCACGTGTGCATCAATATCAGCATCAATGCTATCTAAAACACGGACCTGCGTGGTAAACAATTTATTAAGTATCAACTCAATAAAAAATATTACAATTTAGCTTAGAAACTTACGTAATCTCTCTCGTTCATCCTACTAGGGATGTAACTATCTGTCGGTGGGCGTGGCATGTGTCCAGCTAAAGGCTGTGGGTCACGCGTGATCCATCTACGTGTGATACCCCAATACCAACGCATATACGTGGTATAGTCAACAGCTGTGGGCCTCTTTCCTGTATGCAATCCCACCTCTGAACCCACCTGTCTATGTAGGCCGCACGGACTACGGCCCAGTCAGTCCGGTGCGATGTAGGGCGTCGCCGACGATTGATCTGCTCAACAGGATCTGGAATATGCTGAGAGAGTGTAAACTGCCGTAGCACACGGTCCGGTACATGCATCTCTACGATCTCCTAACAGATCAATGGAACTCTGGCTCTCCTCAAGTTAGGACTATCTCGGCAGATAGGTGCAAGAGAATGTATATCGAGCTCCGGCGGTGTATAGGGTCTCCACTTGAACTGAAATAAAATAAAACATTTATCAATATCATACAGAAAAACTATAATATTCATACTTCTTGAGTTTTATATTTACCTGTTTGTGCTGGAGGCCATGAAGCTCATTTCGGTAAAACTGACGGTGACGCGTCGCTGATTTGTACTGAGCGTATCGCACGTTATACCTATATGCAGAATAGCGAATATATAAGTACAAATATTCAGGTTACGAATGAAATATGTGTGTGTACAATTATACCTGTATGCCAACGGATACTGCCCCTCTAAGTCACGGTGCATAAGTAAAGTGGGCCGTCCAATATGAATGCGCTCCCACGACCAAATCTGTATCAACGTACAGTATCCCTTGAATTCTTTATTCTGCATCATAGATACTCTACTCAATTCTTGATATAAATATGCCAACACCGCACTGCCCCACGATAGTGCGCCGCATACACCAAAATCCTCCAGCAGTGGCAGCCATCGTGCATGTACGAGAGTCTTGCTCGCATCAGGAAATAGTACGCACCCTATCATGTGCAATATGTATGCACGAGCATGAAACTGGAGCGTCTCATCAGAGGCATCCTCTGGTATGTCGCCCTGAAATGTCTGACGAAGCCACGATAGCTTCATCGCACCACTCCTCAAGTCGGGAACCTGTCCAAGTAGCCGGGCACATACCTCCGGCCAACTATGATCGTCGGTGCCCGTAACTACCGATCTATCAAGGTCATGCTATTAATTTGTAATCCCTCCTCTTCATCGTCATTCTCGGATTCAACACTTGCATTATCTTCTTGAATTCCCGTGTTAGTATCGAAAGCATTCGAAGTGCCCATGACCGAAGGACCGCTCATGTATTGTGATTGTGTCCAACATTCATCTTGTTGAGGAGATAAAAAGCCTACAGAATCAACTTCAGGATCCTCCAACATGCGGGAATACATTCCTTCGTAGTTCAACGATTTGCCCAAATCTCTCTGATGTTTTTCAATGAACAATTCGACCGAACGCTTCTCGTCGTGTAAGACATGAATGAGACCCATATCGTAGTCACTTGATATTTGAATGCCACTTGTTCTGTTCTCCACAACAGGATAATTGCAAACCACACTGAGGTGATACTCACGTGAGTTAGTTAATGTAAGTTTGTGTAATTCATTAACCAACTCATCGAAAGTACACGATTTTGTTATGAACAACGGTCTCGTCGTGCCTCCTTCATAAACGGGCATATTATTCTCGAGGTAATTAATCTTCCCATCATAAGAACAGAGAATTACAATTCGATCGTTCATCGTTACCTCTGAAGAGTGAAAAATTCAATATCAATATTACACGAAAAGCCAAATAAATATTGATTGTTACTAATTTTTACATTTAGGTAGTAACTCTAATTTCCACATTAATTGATAATTTCACCTCTAAATACGCAAAATTATTTAATACGTCTTCACAAAATTCGTAAATAATTCACAATTAAATTCTAAAATCTAATTTATATCATACATATGCAAAAATCTAAAATCTAATTTTTCTTCACAAAATCTAAATAATTCACAATTAAATTCTAAACTCTAAATACAATAATTTTCGAAATTATTGATAATTTTTTCTCTAATTTGACAAAATTATTGATAATTTACACACTAATTCTTCACAAATATCACAAAATTATTGATAATTTTCCTTCTAATTTTCACATTTATTGATAATTTTCCCTTTAATTTTCACATTTATTGATAATTTCCAATCTAATTTTCACATTTCTTCACAAAATTCGTAAACAATTCACAATTAAATTCTAAAATCTAGATTTCTACATGTAATCACAATCAAATAGTGGGAGAATACAAAAATTAGAGGGTATAGCTTTTTTAGAAAGAATTTACCTTTTTTTTTTGAAAGGGGGGGGGGGGGGGTCACGCGCGCTTAAATAGGTGGCAGCAAACTCCACGGGAGTTCAACTCCCGTGGAGTTGCAGTGCCAATTTTCCAGAGACTCGATCTCTGGAAAATTGGCACTGCAACTTCACGGGAGTTGAACTCCCGTGAAGCTGCAGTCATAATTTCCAGAGATCGAGTCTCTGGATTTGTTGACTGCAACTCCACGGGAGTTGAACTCCCGTGGAGTTTTAAGCACAAATTAAGCTTCACGGGAGTTCAACTCCCGTGAAGTTTAATTTCCCCATAAACTTCACGGGAGTTGAACTCCCGTGATGTTTCGGAGAATTTTTTACAAAAACTGACTTGTTTCCAGCGTTGGGCTGAAAACAGGTCGGTTTTTGTAATTATTTTCAAAAGTGGTCGTTTTTTACAAATAAAATCCAAAAACGGTTGGTTTTAAAAATTTGTCCCTCATTTGTTTGTTGTGGTTGTTCGTTCAATTTAGCATGACTTTTTCCCCTCAATCACATGTTTATAAGAAAGAGACTATGTGTTCCGAATGAAGATTTTTATAGCCTAGCGTTTTTTTAAGAGAAGATTGTTAGTCAACTCAGGATCAAATTTCTTTTTAGGGGTTTTTCTTTTTTAACCCAAAGTTTTACTCCCACTTATTTAAAAACCCACACATTTTTCCAAACATCAATACACCCATTGTATCCCATCTCACTTATTTCTAAACCCAATATGTATAATACACCAATTATTACTGTATTTATCCTCAAATTCACTACACAAGCTCCCTTCTTCCTTCATCTTCTCCTTCAATGACCACCACCAACCTCTTCCTCTCCCCTTCCTTCACTTCCCCTCCTCCCTCAAACCCATCATCCTCTCCCTCCGCTGCCATTTATCTCCCCTCGACGCCACATCACCCATCACCGTCAACCTCGAATCGGATGAACAGCCCACCAACGGTTTCGACATCGACTCCTCCCCCAGTTCGCCGACATGGCGGCAGACAAGGATCTGAAGCACTTGTCGTCGCCCACCACCTGTTCGTTGAATTTACGCTTGATGTTCTCTCTTGTATCTGATGTATGTCATGTGAGCTTGTAATCAATTTTTTAGATTTTGGAAAAGTACAACTCTTTATAGTGAAGTGTTGCATAGTGTGATGATCTTTTGTAGTGGTGATGTGTAATTGTTGTTTCACACGGTAACTATGTTCTTATTGTTGAAACTGTGTCGTTTCAGAGTTGAAATTGTATCATTTTTTAGCAATGCAAATGTGTAATGACATGTAAGATGTGTTGTTTGATCAATTGATGACGTGCAAGATGTGTTGTTTGATCAATTCTTCACCTCGACGAGAGGTCGTCGCTCCATTTTCCAGCATTAGGAAAAGTATAGCTATTTATAGAAATGTATAGCACCTTATTGATAAAGTACAACATCTTATGGCAAAATATAGCACTTTATGGCAATATTATAGCACCTTATTGATAAAATATAGCACTTTATGATTTCTGAAATTTCTGCAACGTAGGAGAATAAACCAAATCAGTTTTTTTTCAGCGCAATGCGAATATTTGATGACGTATAATATGTGTTGCTTGATCAATTATTCACCTCGACGAAAGGTCGTCGCTCAATTTTTTAGCTTTAGGAAAAGATTAGCTCTTTATAGAAATGTATAACAACTTATTGATAAAGTATAGCACCTTATGGCAAAGTATAACACTTTATGGCAATAGTATAGCACCTTATTGATAAAGTATAGAGGTTTTTCTTTTTAACCCAAAGTTTTACCCCCACTTATTTAAAAACCCATTAACGTTTCCAAACATCAATACACCCATTGTATCCCACCCCACTTATTTCTAAACCCAATATGTATAATACACTCATTATTACTGTATTTACTCTAAAATTCACTACACAAGCTCCCTTCTTCCTTCCTCTTCTCCTTCAATGACCACCACCAACCTCCTCCTCTCCCCTTCCTTCACTTCCCCTCCTCCCTCAAACCCATCAACCTCTCCCTCCGCTTCCCTTTATCTCCCCTTGCCGCCACGTCACCCACCACCGTCAACCTCGAATCGGATGAACAGCCCACCAACGGTTTTGACATCGACTCCCCCAGTTCGCCGACATGGAGGCAGACAAGGATCTGAAGCACTTGTCGTCGCCCACCACCTGTTCGTTGAATTTACGCTTAGTGTTCTCTCTTGTATCTGATGTATGTCATGTGAGCTTGTAATCAAATTTTCAAAATTTGGAAAAGTACAACTCTTTATAGTAAAGTGTTACATAGTGTGATGATATTTTGTAGTGGTGATGTGTAATTGTTGTTTCACGCTGTAACTATGTTCTTATTATTTAAACTGTGTCGTTTCAGAGTTGAAATTGTATAGTTTTTTAACAATGCAAACGTGTGATGACATGTAAGATATATTGTTTGATCAATTGATGATGTGTAAGATGTGTTGCTTGATCAATTCTTCACCTCGACGAGAGGTCGTCGCTCAATTTTCCATCTTTAGGAAAAGTATAGCTCTTTATAGAAATGTATAACACCTTATTGATAAAGTATAGCACCTTATGACAAAGTATAACACTTTATGGCAATAATATAGCACCTTATTAATAAAGTATAACACTTTTATGATTTCTGAAATTTCTGCAACGTAGTGGGATAAACCAAATCAGTTTTTTTCGGCGCAATGCCAACACTCGATGACATGTAAAATGTGTTGCTTGATCAATTATTCACCTCGACGAGAGGTCGTCGCTCAATTTTCTGGCTTTAGGGAAAGTATAGCTCTTTATAGAAATGTATAGCACCTTATTGATAAAATATAGCACCTTATGGTAAAGTATAGCACTTTATGGCAATAATATATCACCTTATTGATAAAGTATAACACTTTATGTTTCTAAAATTTCTGCAACGTAGTGGGATAAACCAAATCAATTTTTTTCGGTGCAATGCGAACACTTAATGACGTGTAAGATGTGTTGCTTGATCAATTATTCACCTCGACGAGAGGTCGTCGCTCAATTTTCTAGCTTTAGGAAAAGTATAGCTCTTTATAAAAATGTATAACACCTTATTGATAAAATATAGCATCTTATGGTAAAGTATAGCACTTTATAGCAATAGTATAGCACTTTATTGATAAAGTATAACACTTTATGTTTTCTGAAATTTCTGCAACGTAGTGGGATAAACCAAATCAGTTTTTTCGGAGCAATGCGAACACTTGATGACGTGTAAGATGTGTTGCTTGATCAATTATTCACCTCGACGAGAGGTCGTCGCTCAATTTTCCAGCTTTAGGAAAAGTATAGCTCTTTATAGAAATGTATAGCACCTTATTGATAAAGTATAGCACCTTATGACAAAGTATAGCACTTTATGGCAATAATATAGTATCTTATTTATAAAGTATAACACTTTATGATTTCTGGAATTTCTGCAACGTAGTGGGATAAACCAATCAGTTTTTTTAGCGCAATGCCAACACTTGATGACATGTAAAATGTGTTGCTTGATCAATTATTCACCTCGACGAGAGGTCGTCGCTCAATTTTCTGGCTTTAGAAAAAGTATAGCTCTTTATAGAAATATATAGCATCTTATTGATAAAATATAGCATCTTATGGCAAAGTATATCACTTTATGGCAATAGTATAACACCTTATTGATAAAGTATATCACTTTATGGTTTCTGAAATTTCTGCAACGTAGTGGGATAAACCAAATCAGTTTTTTTTAGAGCAATGCGAACACTTGATGACGTGTAAGATGTGTTTCTTGATGAATTTTTCACCTCGACGAGAGATAATCGCTCAATTTTCCAGCTTTAGGAAAAGTATAGCTTTTTATAGAAATGTATAGCACATTATTGATAAAGTATAGCACCTTATGACAAAGTATATCACTTTATGACAATAGTATAGCACCTTATTGATAAAATATAGCACTTTATGATTTCTAGAATTTCTGCAACGTAGTGGGATAAACCAAATCAGTTTTTTTCGGCGTAATGCGAACACTTGATGACGTGTAAAATGTGTTTCTTGATCAATTATTCACCTCGACGAGAGGTCGTCGCTCAATTTTTTAGCTTTAGGAAAAGTATAGCTCTTTATAGAAATGTATAGCATCGACGAGAGGTCGTCGCTCAATTTTTTAGCTTTAGGAAAAGTATAGCTCTTTATAGAAATGTATAGCACCTTATTGATAAAGTATACTTTAGGAAAAGTATAGCTCTTTATAGAAATGTATAGCACCTTATTGATAAAGTATAGCACATTATGACAGAGTATAGTACTTTATGGCAGTAATATAGTACCTTATTAATAAAGTATAGCACTTTATGGTTTCTTGAATTTCTGTACTTTATGCTATACTATAAAGTATTATACTTTAGGGTTTTTTTAGTATTAGTCCCTTACATCTAAGCTATTTTGATATTAGTCCCTCGAACCAACCAAACTGCCCCTTACCGTAGACGCGCGGTTTTCTGCAATTTACCCTTTTCTTTGAACGAACTACCTGATATCGAGAACATCTTTCTTCAAAAGGTCCCAATTTCCCGGATCCAAAACCCTAACCCTAAAACCTAGAAATCACAATCCGCCGCCACATCAATGGCGGACACAAAAAAGCGGTGCCTCTACGAGATCCTAAACGTCTCCCGCGATTGCTCTCAAGAAGAGGTTCGATCCGCTTATCGCCGCCTCGCCCTCCAGCTCCACCCCGACAAGAACCCTAACGCCTCCTCGGCAGCCTTCCAGGATCTGCAGCACGCCTATGAGGTACTTTCCGATCCAAGAGAACGCCAATTCTACGATTCTCACCGGTCGCAGATCCTCTTCTCGAATCCGACCTCGTCCAAGCCCACTTCCTCGTTCTTCGACCTCGACCTCTTCTCCTTCTTCTCTACGTCCGCCTTCTCCGGCTTCGGCCACACCGGGAAGGGCTTCTTCAAGGTCTACGGGGATGTTTTCGGTAAAATCTACGACCAAGAACTGTTCTTTGTGAAGGAGTTAGGGCTGGATGAGGACTTGGTCCGGCCTGCGCCCTTGATTGGGGATCTGGAGAGTCCCTACTCCCAGGTCACTGCTTTCTACAGTTATTGGTTAGGGTTCTGCACTGTTTTGGATTTCGGATGGGTGGATGAGTACGATACTTCGTTGGGGGTGAATCGGAGGTCGAGGAGGGCAATGGAGGAGGAGAATAAGAAGAAGAGGAAGAAGGCCAGGAGAGAATATAATGATTTGGTTCGGGATTTGGCAGCATTTGTGAAGAAGAGGGATAAGAGGGTGAGAGATATGCAGGTGAAGAGAAGCTTAGAGGAGGAGAAGAGGAGAGAAGAGGAGAAAAAGAGAAGGGAGGAGGAGGAGAGGAGGAAAATGGAGAGGGCAAGGATGTACAAAGAGCAGGAGTGGGCAAAGATTGATGATGAGGAAGAGACTGTAATTTTTTATGAGATGATGGGTGCTGCTGAGAATGACGATAAGGGAAAGAAAAAGGAGGAATTTTATTGTGTGGTTTGTAATAAGAAGTTCAAGTCGGATAAGCAGTGGAAGAATCATGAGCAGTCCAAGAAGCACAGGGAAAGGGTTGCTGAGCTGAAAGTTTCATTTCAGGAGGAAGAGGAAGAAGAAGAAGAAGTAGGTTTTGGATCAGTATGTGTTGGTGAAGATCAGGAGACGGACTGTGGAAATGTGGTATATGAGTTAACTGAGGAATTCAAGGAGGACTTAGACTTGGAGGAGGGGGAAGTTCAGGATGGAGATTCAGAGGATGAAGCATTGGGTTCGGATGACGAAGAGAGCATCTTAGAGGCAATGGTTTCAGGGCGTACGTGTAACAAGGGTCCTCACTTGGATCGTGATGATTCATTAAGCAATCCAAGTGATTATCTTAACCATAACGAAGAGATCTTCACGGGAAGTGGTTCATGGAAAGGTAGGAAACATAGACCTGCAAGGAGACGAAGTGAGGCTTATGGCAATGGTGAAGAACTTTTGAAAGAAGAGACGAGTGAAAATAAGACGGGTGAGATTGATCATCAGGATCAGGAAGATGTTGAGGAACCAAAGGAAGGAGAAATTCTAACTGAAGGTGGAAATGCCAAGGAGCAAACCGAGGAGACTTCCCTTTCTGAAGGGGTTGTTGCAAAAGGCAATGGAAATCGAGCCACAGGAAAGAAGAACAAAAAGCAACAAGTGGATGCTAGAGGGCCTTCAAAGAAAGATGCTAAAGTCTCAAAGAGCTCGTCAAAAGGGAAAAAACAGAAGGTAACAACAGTCCTGCCTATCACTGTTACTATATTTATGTTGTCTACTTCTGACGTAAACACTTTAAATTGGTTAATCTGGTTAGTTTTATTTTTGTTTCTTATACAACCTCTATAAAAGAAGAGTTCTTTTTTATTCTCCTTCTTCTTTCCCTCACTTTTTATTTATTTATTACAACAAGATTGATGATGATGACTAAGTCTTTATCCCTATTTTTGGGTCGGCTAAATAATTCTTATTCTTTCATTTAGTTCTTTTGAGGGTTCTCTCCTTCACTAAGCTAATCATTATCATATCTTTCTCAACAGTTAGAACTAACCAAGTTTTCTTAGGCTAGCCTCTAGTCTTTTCTCCATTAATAATAATTTGTTCTCTTCTCCTAATTTGTGCATTCAATGGCCTCTGTTGCACGTAACCAAACCATCTCAAAAGATTCTCATTTTATCCTAAAAAAGAGTAATCTCTAACTTCTACCAAATATATTCACTTCTAATCATACCACTGATCGTATATCCACTCATCCATCATAACATTCTCATTCTTGCTACACTCAATTTTTAAACGTGTCACTTTTTAATTGCCTAATAAAGCATTGTGGTCTTATAACAATCATATTGATTTTTGCCTTTAATTTTGAAGGTGTTCCATAATCAATTAGGGCTCCAGAAGCACTCCTCCACTTTAACCATTCTGATTCGATTTGAATTATTTCATCCTCAATTTCACCATATTGACAAATAATGGGTCCTAAATAACGAAATAATTACTCCTAGATATTCCCTGTCCATCCATTTGTACTAACACTCTTTTACAGTTTTACTAAACTTGCATTCCCTATAATTTGTTTTTATTTTGCTAATTCTAAATCCTTTATATTCGAGTTCTTCAGTCAGCCTTTTCTCTTTAGAAATAATCCCTAACTTCATCTCATCAACAAAACCATGTCATAAGCAAATAACATGGCCTATGAGACTTCATCTTGTGCCTGATAAGTTCATCCATACCTAATGCAAAAAGATGATGGCTTAAAGATGATCTTAGATGTAAACCTTTTGCAATAGTAAATAGTTTTGTCATTCCTGTAATTATTCTTTCTCTAGTTCTTACTCTATACATATATTTATTCACATTATATTTACTAGAAACTTGTTTCTTTTCTAAAATCCCTACATTGTTCTCCTGGCCATTCCTTATAGGCTTTCTGAATAAATAAAAACCATTTCTAGATCTGTTCACTTCTCCTTGTATCTCTCCATCAATCTTCTTAATATATGAACACATTTCATTATGAGATTGAGAACGAGGAACATTTGCAAATAAAAATGGTCTTTTTAAATCTTTTTGCAAATGCGAAACATTTCTCAAATCAAAATAAAATTTGGCCAAATGACCAAATCTATCACAATAATCACATTTAAACACATTCACATGCTTATGATTATCATTGGGTGCATGTGTGTGTGTATGTTGAGAAGAAACCTTATGAGATGCACAACAAGCATTAGTATTAGAATTTTTGGGTTTACATGCATCATAGAAAAATTTAGCAAGATGGCATTTACGGCCGTAAATAGTGTATTTATAAATTTTGCTATACATATGTGCATAGTGAGTGAGTGATTTTGAAATGGTAGCTCGTGACTTAGCATATATGTCCACAAGATTCTTATGTTTGACAATGCATGTTTTTAGAGTTGAATCTAAAGATGAGATACGGTTTTTCACATTATTCAACTCATTATTATGCACACTAGCATTGTCAATAGAAGTAGAACAATCATTATTATTTTTGAAAGAATCAAATTCATGTATAATTGTTTCTACCTCTAATATTGCATCATTTTTCTCATTAGATAAGTTAGAATTTTCAATTTAAATTTATCATTGCTATCTTTAAGAGTCACATTTTCTTTGGCAATGATTCAAACTTAGTTGCTAACAAATCATGATCGGATTTTAGCTCTTCATGCTTGCTTTTTAAACTTATAAAATTTTGATGCAATTTGTTATAGGCTTTCATTAGTCTTTCATGTGCACATGCGAGATCATCTATGATTAATTCATTTTCGGAGTCGGACTCGCATACCTCACTAAGGCAACCGCCTAGTAGCCGTGTGCATGATGATGCTCCATTCTCACTTGAAGCGGACTCCACCGGAATGTGTTGGAGTTCCTCCTAGTTGCCTTGATGTGCCTCTATGTGTTTCCATAATGTATAAGCACTATCAAAATGAGCAAGTTTGTTAGAAGTAGATGATTCAAAAGCTTTAAGTAAAAATCCTAACAATAACTGTTTGTTAGAAGTAGATGATTCAAAAGCTTTAAGTAAAAATCCTAACAATAACTTGTTCATTGTAAACATCTTTTTATCATAATTGCTCTATAAAAGCTTTAAGTAAAAATCCTAACAATAACTTGTTCATTGTAAACATCTTTTTATCATAATTGCTCTATTTGGATTTCTCCAATGTGGGCACAATATAAGCACTATCAATCACTTTCTCATAGTTTCATAGTATGATTCATAAGTTTGATATCCCAAATAGTTTGAATAACTTTGTATATCTCCTTGACTCTTATACATATAGGTATGAAAGTACTAATTCTCCATTTATCGAGCATTTTCTTAGTATCAGTAATCGTGTTGAAGAGTTTAGACAACCATCCTAACCCTGTAAATCAAAGATATTTTCAAACTTCAAAAGACATATCGTCCAACCTTTTGTTTCTTCCCATTTTCATTTTCCTTAAAAGAACTTTAACCTTAATAATTCTAAATTTTTGACAATACCTATATTTCCTTATCATCCACAGTGTTGTCAAATTCTCTCTTATGTTCATATGTTTGATATCATTAAATGCTTTATAAAAATAACTTTGCCTCTATTAACTTTGTCATCATTTACTAGAAATCTTTCATCTTCACTCTTGATACATCTAGCATATCTAAATCTCAACTTCTTCTTTATCTCATCTTAGCAAGTTTATAAATACCTCCCTTCCCCCTCTTAAGCCTCTAGTTTTTTATATAAATCAATATAACTTGTATTTTAACTGCCCTAACTATTTTTTCTTTTTGCTAATTTGTAGTTTCAAGATTTTTCTAATACCTATGCTTCTGTCACTCTTATGAGACATCATCTTTGCTCTAATTATTTTCTGAACTTCTTCATTCCAGCATCTACTCTCTTTGTCGGGCAATCTACCACCCTTAGAGTCTTAGAGGATTTCTTTAGCCACCTTAATATAACAGATATTCTATTCTTCAAACTATTAGCTTCGTCATCTATATTCCAGCATCTTATCCTTAAAATGTACTAAACAGTTAAGACTATTGTTATTGGTAGTACTCTAACAATATTATCTTTAGTGTATTATCGATAATGTGGTATCTATAAGTATTTTCTGCCCGATTTTTTCCTTTTCTTTCGTTACAAACCAAAATTTTATAAGCGGTATTTTCAATCTCCCTAGACTTTCATCTCCCACTTAGCTTCTTGTAAACATATTGTATTGATCTTTCTTTAGTTCATGATATTTATCAACTAAGTTTACCTACATTTCAAGTAGCGAATCTAATCCTACTCTTATATAAGCCTCTTAGTCTTTCTCACTTATGACTTTCTACTCTACGCCTATTCGTATTCAACACCATACTTGAGGACAAATGTGGCACTATGAGATCCTCAACACACCTTACTTGTCATTACATTGAGATTGTATAGATGTGACACGTCGCTTTGAGGGGCCACCCTAACAAACCACCCTTGCTCACTACGCTGAAATGGCATCACTTCAACTCATCACGATGGAGCGCCCCAACATATTTTCTTCAGGATTTATTTTCATAGAGATCTGGCTAGGTCATACATTGGCTGTTGGCTATCTTATACAACCTTCCTGGGATGGGCAGTGAAAGAATATACAATGAAGCGCAACATTTGTCAGATTTTTATTTCTTTTTTTACAACATACTTAATTTAAACCGAGGAGATATTCTTTTATTCATATTTGGTGAATATATTTTGTAGTTTCCTTTGTCTTCATTGTGTTCAATTGCGAGTTGCTAGGTTAATGTATATCAAATATCTAGCAAGATAGCCTTTTGCTACTGGCGCACCACTGTTTCCTATCTATTTAATTATCCCAATAATTTATATTGTGCTACTTATATAGGTTTGAATCATTTTTACTTAAGTTCTGGAGGCATCTTAAATTTCATTTACTTTGTGCATATATTATTTGGCAATCTGTCTACATATCTATTACTTTTATTTAATTTAACTTAAAAGCAAAACCCTAAAATCATAATAATACTGTTCATACTGCAATAATAATTTTGGCCCTTGAATGAACTCTTTAAGCTACAGTGGAATTGTTGGCCCTTTATCCAATGTTCAAGCTAAAGTAAAAAATTTTAAACCTTAAAAACACTGTTCATATCCTTTTTTCGGGTTCTTGCGGATGATAATTTAAACTTTTATCAGACATTTCATGTATAGAAATCTTTTCTGGCTCTATTAAAAAAAATTGATATAACTTTCTCATTGGTACATTATTGTGTTAACTAGTTTGGAGATTCTTCTATAAATAGTAGTAAAAAAATTGTCACTGAAGTTTTATAAATAGTAATATACAAAAACCATTATCAATCTGGCAATAGATATACCTCGGTAAATAATGCTCGCAGCAATGCGCGGACTTAACACTGATGAAGTGAAAACTAGCTCATTTTCACTATTCTGTTTTTAACCAATATATGTCAAATCTTGCAATTCCCTAGTTCTTTTCATTTTCGTTAAAATGCTCATAGTGTTTCAATCGATGCTTGATTGGCAAGATTCCTTTTTTGTGCACATTATGGTTAATGTTTTAGAAAACGTTAGGCACTTCTAGGTTCTGGACCAAGCGCCTAGCGCCTAGACGTCTATGTGGGCGCTTAAGCAGAACCTAGGCATTTTTTAGCATCAAGGAAGAAAGGGTTCATTTCGAAGATTCAATATCATATTCTCGTCGTTTACTTAAGATGGAAGTAGATCGAAACTTCTGAATCGACCTATTTTGACTTTGTCAATTCTATTGACCTGTTACTAGCTTACTGTGACTTGGCAAGCAATATAACCCTTGTTAATGCAGTGTAGTTTACATAAGCATCTTATGCTCCCAAGGTGTACAAGGTGTAGGCAGGTGCCCTAAACACCGCTTTAGTCTAGGCGGGTGCCTAAGTGGACACCCAAACTGCTTTTTAAAAGGGTGATTATGGCTATAAACAATTAAGTTCATCATCAGAGCTATGACAGTAGCTTACTCCACTTTATTATTATTGTTATTATTCATCATAAGAAACCTCAACTATAAATTCATTAATTTCATGGAACCAAGTTAAGCAAGGGAATGGATCCCTGCCTGTCACTGACAAGTCTAAGATATGTCTTTACTGCATTTGGATGGGGTTAGGAGAGAGTAGGGTTAGAGAACTTGGTGCTTCACTTTGTTTGGAAGTATTTAGAGCCCCCCCCCCCCAAAAAAAAAAAAAAAAAAAAGCGAAAACAAAAACAAAAAACAAATGCGGAGTGTATAAGAGGGAAACAGAGAGGAATTAATCATAAAAGATGTTTGACCCTCCATCATTATGGATCAATGGTGGAGATTTTATTATGAAACCTTCTTTTTCTTTCCCTTCCCTTTGTTAGAGCTCCCAAACAATATGATGAAACAAGTTTCCCTCTATTCCCCTCACTAAACTTCAAAAATAAGATATTATATTTTCCCTCTCCTACTCTACCTTCCCTTTTCATATTTTATCTTCCCTTTCATTCTCCTAGTGAAACTCCTAAACATAGTGTTAGGGTATAATTGCTCTTTGAACTTCCATCAAGGATGGTGGGCTTTATGTCAACTTATTATGAAAGCAATGTCTTGGTCGTTTCACCTGTTTGGTTTGTGCAAGTTTCATAAATAGTTAATAGAAAGGCAAGAAAGATTGTGATACCCTCTAGGGAATGGTTCAACCTGTTTTGGACACCAAAATTGTGGTAAGGGAAGATATGCGCAGGAGATAGGGCATGCTATAGGACCTAGAAAGCCAAGTGGCAATATAAAATCTGTGTTATTGTAAAGAAGAGGAATTTCCTGTCTGAAAGCATTCCATCAATCAACATGGTTAAGTTCTAGTATAACTATTTTGTACCTAAGCATATAAATTATAAAGCAGAGACATGAAATCGTCCCCAAAGAAGAAATTGACCTTCCTTTATGGCTGTTCCTAGCTTTTCTTTGAACTATTTCACGTATATTGTGCATAGCTTACTCTTTCCTACCGTTTGTAGAAATCTATATGGACCGTTTTATGCCTTAACAAAAAGCACCTACTTGAAGTTAAATATTGATTTTTTTATTCATCTTTTTTCTTGCATAAATCATAAGACAAGTCACATTTGTGACAGTCGAAGATATGCTCTTTTGCACTATCTGTACAGTTTGCAATTAATGTTAATTATGAAATCATCTGCATCTAATTGACCTTCACCAACAACAAAATACTAACAATAAGAACATCTACAAATAAGGATGTAAGCTGTTGTGAAATCCTTTTCCTCCAGGCAAGTCTTTTTTTAAATGGCATCTCCTTTATAGAATCAACCATGATATCATGTTAGCTTCCTCAATCCATTTTTCCGTATGCCTCTATTCATAGCCACTTCTGCGAAAATGAAATACGTTCTGCATTTAAAGAAATATATGTATTATTATAGCTGAAATTGTTTATTAGACTACGAGTTATGCATGAACATTCTATTTATACAAACATGGATATTAATTCGGTTTACAAGTGGGGCAAATTTAAACCTGATTGGACACAATCTATCTTGTTTGCCTTCTGCTGGATGAGATTTCATTCCTTGGTCAGTCAGACTCTTGTTCAAAATCCTCTATCCTTGCTGAATTTGCTGGAGATGCAGCTTAGTAAAAACAAGGGAACAAGGGTATCTGGTAGACGACGATAGTTGCTTCATTTGCATAGTTGTAAGGTGTACTTGTACATTTCACAGTATGTCCCGCAGTTTAACCATTAGGAAACTATAGAATTGACACTGTCCCTGGGTGATGACATCATGATGTCAAGTAAATAGTTTACCTTAAAATTTTGGTCAATCATCTACGGAACGTTTACAATCTGGATTCACAATTTTGTTGCTATACGTTAGGTGACTCCATGATGATGAGAAAAGCCTTAGGAAATGATAATAGAATCCTGCTCATGCTGCAGAATGTTATGACTTATCACCAACTAGTGTACTTTGCTTAATTGTTGTCAAATTTACTTGACTGATCTTCTTAACCCCCAAAAGCCATCCATGGCAATGCCAATATTTCACGGTGATTCCATTTTTTGTCGTGAAGAGCTATCCTGCACTAGTTTTGGAACGTACCAGCTTATATGGATTGACAAAATAAAATACACTCGTAGATATTATTCGAACACTAAGAAAAAGAAATTCTTGAGCATAATTAGGAAATAATACTATTAAGGAAGCTATAACGAAATGATATTATTTAAAAGGGTTATGTAGACTGTAGAGGATTCTCAAGCAGTCAGTGAAATTAATAAGAGTGAGGATTCTCAAGCAATATCACTTCCTAGGTTATGCTAATATAAATATACTACTAGCAACTTAATAAAGAAACAAAAAACAAGTAATATGATTTAAGAGGTATACATTGGCTCTAAGAGTTAATGTTCGTCAAGGTAAAGTTATGGGGTATTCCCCCTATAGGGTTAAGTGCAAAAAAACAAAATGTTTTGGGGGGTTTTCAGAAAATCCCAAACTTACTGCAGAGTTCAAAAATTATGGGGGCTTAGTGCAAATAATTAAACTTTTTGGAGGTTTAGTAAACTTTATCCTTAAAAAAAATTCACGAGTGCCATATGACAATTTTTTGAGATTTTTTTAATTAGAATTTATCTATAACTATAATTTGATTAGGACTACTAAATATCTGACTACAATTGGAATTTTGTAATTATGGATAGATTTAATTTGATGAGGATTCTTTGGAGAATATTTGATTAGGTGGCCACATGTCACCTTCTACTATGACACTTTTAGTATAACACGTGATGGTGTTTTATGCCTTTTAAGTGGTATACTGGTATATATATAAAGGAGGGATATCAATGACTGCAACCCATCTCTCTGTTCTCTTTCATGCGTGCTGGATATGTTCCCCTACACATTCCTCATGCTGCAAAGTAGGCATTATGTGACACACTATCTGCATTACATGAATCAGTAAAACATTTGAATTCTCAGAGGTAGGCCATGTCGGGATCCTGCTCCCCAAGCAGTATCTCTAGTTTCATACCTAAACTATTTTCTCAGTTAGAAAATTAAATAAAATAAAAATTCGTTGAATTTGTTTATAAGACTGCTTCGGTCGCTATTGGATCACTTACAATTCAATGTACCCTTCATCCTTATATTTTATTTATTTTATTTTTGGGGGAAATGTGTTCAGACAAAGCTGCAAATTTCTGAAATGGTCAATCTGTGTAAAATGAATACGTCGAAGTACTGAACAGACTGGCATGACATCCAATTTTGCTTTAGAACTTGTCTTTCTATGTGCTTTCACCCTAACTAACTTATGAAATATTGGAAATCAGGCGAGCACAAAAGCACCGAGTAATGCATGCGATATGTGTGGTGAGAATTTCGACACAAGGTATTGCTGCAATGTTTCTTTTAACTTATCTCAGTTATGCTTTGCAAATAACTTTAATTTTCTTCATGCCTCCAGATATTCTGAATGCTGATATGAATATTCATTTGACAGGAATAAGTTATTTGCACATTTGGGTGCTACAGGCCATGCCACGTTAAAATCAAGATAAAGTATAGTTCATTAGCAACATACAGTAATTGTCAATTTTGTAGAGGTCATTCTGCTTTGATGACTGCTTAAGGATTCCATGCTGAACAATTTTGCAAGTGGAAAGTGCCCATCCTTTTCAGAGAATTCTGTACAGGCAGCGAGATGGGATCAAAGGTCCCAACTTTTGACGAGGGTGATCAGGGATATCATACGCTTGATAGGATAAAGAACAAACAGTAGAGTGGGAAGAAGGGGGAAAAAACTCGAACTGAATTTAAGATGGACAATGATTTTTTTTTAAATTTTTTCCTTTTTGTAATTGTGTTGTAATATGTTTGATGTTTCTGATATCCTCAAGCAAATTACTCCAACATCAGATTATGGAAATAACCGGAGGTTATAAAGGTTTCCAGACATTCTGTACCTTTTACATTGTTGCCTTCTTTTGAGTGTAAAGTTACCAATTTTGCGTTATGTGATATGTTGATATTGCTGAAAAATTTAACATTTTTATATAATTTAAATAATTAATATTATTTATGGGGGTCCATTGAGTAGGAAGGGTTGACTAAGGGGGTGTTTGGTTCAAATGCCAAAATTTAAGAATTTGTAATCTTATGGAGAATTTCAAAACCATATGGCTTCATACATGTTTTGGGATTTCTAATGTTTTGTTTTGTTCAACATTATTATAGGAAAACAAATCCTAAAATTTGTAATATCTTGTTTAGTTCAAACCTAAATTATAGGATTACAAATTCTTAAAAAGAAAAATATGTGAATATACTTACCTTGATGAGGCTACCTCTAACAAAAAAAAAATATAAGGGTATAAAGAGAGCTACGTGTACTTATTTATGAGTTTTGCCAATTTTTTTTCAATTGAGAGGATTTGACAAATTCTAAAATTTAAGTTTTTTTTTTTTTTTTGCAATTTAGGGATTCAAGGAACCAAAAAATTGCTTGAAACAAACGCAATTTATAGAATCCAAAAACCCCCAAAAGCCCAATATTTGATTCTAGAATTTGAAATCCATCCTATATCCCAAAGTTTGCTTGAACCAAACACCTCATACAAAGATTTGATTTGTAAATTGTAGAATATCTCTGCGACTAATGATGTAGATGACCTCTATCTGTTTCTAAGCTTGTGAAGATGTGGCTAGGGATGGAAACGAATGCAATTGAGCTCTAAGGTGTTCATGTTTTGTATTCCTTTATAATGTTTAATTAAAATTTTAATATACTTCTCTGTTATAATTTGAATTAGAACACAAAATATTTTTTTAAATTAGCATTCATCTATTGTATATGGAAGTATATTTGTTTGATTATCACGTGTAATTTATGAATATTAAATATTTTAATTTGGTTAAAGAAATTATATCCTTTCTCAAGAATTTGGCTTTCTAAATTGCATTTGAATTCATAATATAAATCTTACATAATCATGATGAATAAATCTGTTATATTTGGTTCAACAACCATTTTGGGACAAAAATCTTTCAAAATTAGTTTAGAACTTGAAATTAAAAATGTAATCAAGTCAATTTAAAAAAACATCAAGTATAATAATACAAGTTACAAGAAAAACTTTAAATAAATATTTGATAAGCAAACAAATTGGATATCCATCTAGTTAAATTCTATTTGTTATAACCCAAAAACTAAAAGTTAGAGAAACAATAAAGGGGTGCTAGTCAACTAGACATTTTTGATAGAAGTGGAACAAGTTTGAGATGAATATTTGAAATGAGATATTTTAGTGGGACAATTGTTAGTATAATTAAGGATAATTTTCAAGACTACTATTTATATATTTTTAAAAACATACTATTATTAATAATTATTATTTACTTTAGTGTTAATTAATCTTGAATAACTATTGAATAGACTACAAGGCATTATTATTACAATAATTTATATATTTTTTTGGAATCACTATTGTAACACAAATTAAAAAATAAAGTTTTTTCTTTTTGTGCTTTCCTTTTCAATCTGCTAGACATCATTTTGTCATCTCTTAATTTTAATTAATTTTAATAAAAAACAACTTTTATAATTTTTTAAATTTAATTAATTATACAATTCTAATATTTAATAAAAAAAAGATTACATATGATGGTAAGAAGAGATGTGACCTAATCCTATTGTCAGGTTTGAAGATGATGGAGAAATGAAATATGAAAATTAAAAAGCAAAAAAAAATTCTAGTTTTTTTACCATCTAGTTATAATTTAAAACTTAGAACAATTTTGAGAGACTAGAACTCTTTTTTTCACATAAAAATTTGACAAAAGACCGACAAACTTTTATTATTATCCCACTTTTACTTTTTATTTACTTTTTATCCAGTTTTAATTGACTGACGTTGTATAATTTTATTCCCATTATAGTTCCAATTGACTTAACACTAACAATTTGTCGCTACCAATGAGAACTTTCCCTAACAACTTTCTCGCAATGCTCTCTAAAAAACGACTGTTACAATTATTAGATAGCAGGTTCCTAATATGTTTCCTAATTTGTTTTTGTAACAGGTTATTGGGATTTCTAATCTGTTTTAATAACATGATTTCAAATCTGTTTTGGTAACAGGTTATTAGGATTCCTAATTTGTTTTGTTTTTTTGTTTTAGAATTCCTAGTATGTTTATGATTTTAGGATTTTTATATATATGGAACAATTGGAAGAGAGAATTGAGAAAAAAAATTAGGGATATTTGGAGCACAGAAAAGAGGTATTTTCTAAGCTATTGGTTAGGGTTTTGTTTGGAGAGAATTAGAGATTTATTGGTGAGATTAATTGGTGAGTTTGAGTGATTTGTAATCTTAGTTTCTACTCTTCTTCTCTATTAGTAAAAAAAACTCTATCCCCTTCTTACCCCGTGGACGTAGGCAACTTGCCGAACCACGTTAAAATTGATTGTTTTTGTTTGTGGTATTGATTTGGTTCGTTTGGCCTTCTTTCGGCGTTTGTTTGATTTGGTCTCTCGAAGCACATCGGTTTGGTTTTAGCTTCCGCAGCGCTCAACAAGTGGTATCAGAGCTCGGGCTACGCTTGGGCTAGTTAGAGGAGTAGGTCGTTTTGGAGGCGCGCGTAGGGCTTCGTTTGGTGATAAATATGGGATCTTTTTGGTAAAGACTCTATCTTTTTTAGTTTTGGATCTATTCTTCATTTGTTCCGCATTTGTTTTGGTGCTTTGAGAAAGATGGTCGGGAAAGGAGTTGTGGAGGGTACTTCCGACGTGAAGACCGTCCGAAGTTTGAATATCCACTCTATGAAGATAGATATGGAGAAGTTTAATGGCACAAACAATTTTGATCTTTGGAGAGGTGAAGTCTTAGATGCCCTCAATGCGCAAAATTTGGAAGATAATTCGGAGTTGGACGGGAAACCGGATGACATTGAGGAGAAGGTTTGGAAAAAGATGAATAGAACGGCGTGTGGTGTGATTAGATCTTATTTGACTCAATATTTAAAATATGATGTGATCAATGAGACTTCGGCTAAGAAGATTTGGGAGATCCTAGAGGACAAGTATTTGACAAAGAGTGTAGAGAACCACTTGCATTTAAAGAGGTGACTTTATCGCTTCTAATTGAAGAATGGGACCTCCATTGGTGATCATATGAACCAATACACGAAGCTTCTTACGGATTTGATGAATATAGATGTGATGATTGAAGATGAGGATAAGGCGTTGTTGTTGTTGAGTTCCTTACCTGACGAGGAATATGAGACCTTCGTTCTTACTCTTATTAATGGGAAGGTATCTCTTTCTTATAGTGAGATCACTGTTGTCTTGTGAATTATCAACTCCGAAAAAAGGATAAGGAGACTTCAGTTGAGCCGGTAGCGGGGGCATTGATCGCAAGAGCAAAGAGTCCAAATCGTGGTAGGAGGTTGCAGTCTAGAGGGGTACATCTTGGAGTTCGTAAGAATCAGTGTGCCTTTTGTAAAGAGGATGGACATTGGAAAGCCGAATGCCCAAAGTTGGTTGACCGAGCCGGGAAAAATAAGGGGAAAGCTATTCAAACTTTAGAGGTGAATGTTGTCAAGGCTAGTGACTATAATTCAGATTCGGATTCTTCGAGCTACTCGTTATCTGCACTATCGTCAGTTTGTGTTACCGACTCTACAGAGTGGATGTTGGATTCAGGTGCTTCTTACCATATTGACCCTAAGAGGGATTGGTTCTCGAGCTTTCAGGAGTTGGAAAGAGGGGACGTCGTGCTCATGGGTAATGATCATGAATGTCCTATTGATGGTATCGGTACCGTTCGGATTAGGATGAGTGACGGAGTGATTCGGGAGTTGGTTGGAGTAAGGTTCGTTCCTCAGTTGAAGAAGAACATCATTTCACTTGGAGTTTTGGAGGCAACAAGCTATAGGGTGACCTTGGTTGATTCACGTTTGAAGGTCACATTGGGGTCCATGATTGTGATGATGGGCGTCAGGAGGAATAATTTGTATCATTTGATTGGAAGTACAGTGTTTGATAGAGAGATGATGACTTCTTTGGATTTGGCCAGATTGTGGCATTTGTTGAGACTGAGTTATTTGATTGGTTTTGTCGTGCATGGTTTGTTAATGAGTGCTTTGACCTGCAAATTGAAGTCCTTTGAGCATATTGGTATGAGCAAGAATACCGAGGTGGAGTTTGGCACTTCTATCCATCGATCGAGGGGTCTTTTAGGTGGTGTTCAGTCAGGTATTTCGGGACCTTCTAAGGAGGCATCATTGGGAGGTAATCGGTATTTGGTTTCCGCAGTTAGGGATTGTTCTAGGCATTGGTGGGTTGCAACCAGGTCCCATTGGTGTGAAGTCCTAGAAGTCAACAACAATTGGAAGAAGTGTATTGGTAGAAAGGTAACCCGTCGTTCTAGCTTTGGTAGGGGTTCTTTCTTGCATTTGTGTCGAGCTCATGGTAGTTTGAGACACTTCATTGATGTGGAGACATTGGGGCGACGAGATGAGATGACAGTTTTGATGGGTCGTTCCTTACTGGAGGGGATCAGCGTTGGTTGTTGAGCATTGGTTTTGGTTTTGGAGCATAGACATATTTGGGTCATCTTGGTCATAGGTTACCGACTGCTGCGTATGAAGATTTTGGATCTGATGGAGCTGCTATAGATTTTGGGTAGCGTCGAATATTTGGTTACCCAGCATTTGGTCACATCGAGGATGTGAGATTTGATCTGATTGCACGTTTGGGATTCAGAGGTTCGTTTGATTATCAGTTAGGAGTTTTTGATTTTGTTCTGAGCAGGTATATCACATTTGACTCTCGGCAGGTGAAGAGTGTTGATCAGATCATTGGGATATCATAGCGGGTGGAGGGTGATACTACTTCACATTGGGTGGAGATTACTCCACATACTCCAGAGCATACTGCATCGTTTGAGATTCTAGCTGAGGTGACACAGTTTGGAGATCATTTGGATTTGGACGCAGATGATGAGTTGGTTTTGGATTTGAGTGCAACTGGTGGACATGTTTTGGATACGGCCATTGGTTCACCTCAGGTGGAGGTGTTTGATTTGTTTCAGTTTGAGGTCATTGGGAACGCTATCAGTTGCAGATCCGTTGGTGATATTAGTGAAGAGTTGTAAACTTTTCTATTTGATTAAGAGCCTTTGGAGTCCGTTTGGGTGAACTACGTGAAGGCTTGATTCCTTGGCGTAAGAGGATACGTAGGCAGTCATTTATGATGCAGCCGGTTTGGTGAGTTGATACCGACATTTGGAGTTTGTTCACATTCTCATTTGGGTTCTCAACTTGTTATGGATTGAGTCCGTTGTCGTGGATTTGTTCCTCTTCGTACTGGATGCAACAAGTGAGATGTTTGGTTGGTATTAGTGTCGGCTCAGTTTTGGGAAAACTCCGCCGAGGTGGAGAATTGTTGGATAGTAGGTTCCTAATATGTTTCCTAATTTGTTTTGGTAACAGGTTATTGGGATTCCTAATCTGTTTTGGTAACATGATTCCAAATCTGTTTTGGTAACAAATTATTAGGAATCCTAATCTGTTTTGTTTTTTTTGTTTTAGAATTCCTAGTATGTTTATGATTTTAGGATTTCTATATATATGGAACAATTAGAATAAAGAATTGAGAAGAAAATTAGGGATATTTGGAGCACAAAAAGAGGTATTTTCTAAGCTATTGGTTAGGGTTTTGTTTAGAGAGAATTAGAAATTTGTTGGTGAGATTAATTGGTAAGTTTGAGTAATTTGTAATCTCAGTTTGTACTCTTCTTCTCTATTAATAAAAAAATCATATCCCCTTCTTGCCCAATGGACGTAAACAACTTACCGAATCATGTTAAAATTAATTGTTTGTGTTTGTGGTATCGATTTGATTCGTTTGGCCTTCTTTCGGCGGCATTTGTTTGATTTGACCTCTCGAAGCACATCGGTTTGGTTTTAGTTTCCACAACACTCAACAACAAAAGTGTATAAGAGTATTTTGGCAGAAGTTTTTCAAGATGCACAATTTCTTGGAAGTAACACAATTTCCAAATGCTCATAAGCTTAGATGCGTGCGCCCAGATGAATCATGTCCTGGCATTCCAAGAGCAAAGCGGGAAAAAGTAAAAGCAAGAGCAAGAGCAAAATATGGTGAATGTCAGGGTGAAGGTAAAAGCAAAAGCAAAAGCAAAAGCAAACGGGTCCTAACTGAAGCATGTTCCTTCGATTAGTCTAATGTGATCTTCCTAAGCTACATTCGCTGTCCAATGAATGAAAATTTTATTTTCTAATATAGTGAAGCCCTTGCACAGTAAAACTCCAATGCGCGCAGCAGGACAAATCCAATTGAAGATGGGATAAATTTGCACGACATAAAAGTAAGCAGACAGCTGAAGTAAATCACAAAGAAGCACGGCTTAGATCACGATTACAGCTTTCTGTCAATAGCATTTTTTATATACTCTTCAGCTTCCTCTCTTGTAAGCTGTTTCCCTTCTACTAGTCCTTTCAATAATGTATTCTTATAACTTTCTGCAGGAGCACAAGTTGGTAGCTCGCCAGATTTGAATCGGTCAACATATGAAAATGGGCACCTGTATTTTTAAAGAATATAGTCACATGGGTGCAAATTGGAGGGAATTTTAGCATTTTAAAAGAAATGAAGCAGAACTTTTGTAAAAGAAGGAAGCAGCAATGTACGTCATTGTTAAAATTGGGAGACCATCCTCTTCCCCCAAGTGCAGCACGTTAGAATACCATCCATCCTGCAACAGTAAAGCCCAAAAATTTATTCAGAGGTTTATAGCTGTGGCATAAAATGGAACAAAAAAAAAAAGAGGAACAGTTCCATCACAATAGAGGGGGGAAACAAATCAAGCATCACAAATGTCAAGCAAAATTTTCAACACACGAACATGCAACCCAGCCTAGATAATAAGATACGAGATTCTAACATTCTAAATAAGCTTTTCCTGTTAAGTGAATTATAAAGATGGGAGTAAATACTGCAAAATTTTGCAAGTCAAAATAGGATTAAGCGTACCCCAAGGACCTCCAGAAGCATGGTTTTGCTTTCAGCTAAAACTTTAAGCTGGGATTCATCTAGCAATGGTGATTGTTCCATGTCTGGGCTCATCCTGTTCTCTTGGAATAAAACATCATTGAACTGCTCCAGCCTGTAGGAAAATGTTTCACAGCAGAATGAAAATTGTATGATTAAATATAATATGGTCTGATGAGATTATTGGCTACAAAGAATGATGTGTTTTCTAGTAATTCAAGAGAATTAAGGAGAGCTACATACGTTATTCTATATATACAAACATAAGCTCTGTCATTGGTGTTACTTTCAGGATGAAGAAATGCAACTCCACCTTTACCCCATGTAGATGAATGAGATAGGGCAAAGAACAACTTGTGAGGTACAATATTCCAGAAGACATCTCTGGGTAAACTTTTATCTCTTGATCCACGACAAGGTTTATTCATACCTTCCGCCTAGAATAATTTGGAGGAACAAAATATTACAAGGTGAGCATTATGCAGCATGGTAGATATTTCAAGATGAGTATATGGAGATCAAGTACAAAAGTCATGCAAAAACAAGATGCATATTTAGTGAACAAGATGAATATTTAGTGAACTTTAGTAGGAAGCAAAGGTACAGAAGGATGAACACCATAAATAATATTCACACTTTGATTCCACAATGTTTTTATTTCTTGTTAAGAAAGATAATTTTATATATAAAATAGTTTTCAAAATATGGGTATACTTAGTGTAGTACTATTGTATCTGCAATACTTATTAGTTACAAACAAGCAAAATTGACCTGCTCGTTGCCGCGGCATTAGCGCGGAAATGACAAAAAAAAATTAACAGTTTAAGCAATTGGTTAAAACTACACTGTATATCTAACCGCTCAGAACAAACAATATAGCAAGTTGAAATAAAGATATAGCAACTTACACCATATATCAAATTGTTGAAATAGATACTGCATTGAAAATTATTTCGGTGGAGTATTTTGTGTCTAGGGTAATTTGTAAGTGGATGGATTTAAAAATAGGGGGGTAAGACTTTAGGTTTATAGATAGAAAACCATTTTCGTAAGTGGGTCGTCTTAAAAATAAATGAAGATGTTTGGGTTTATAGTCAAGAAACTCATCTACTACTTGTGATGCCGCAACATTAGCATAAAAATGAACAAAAAAAAATAACGGTTTAAACATTTGGTTTAAAGATACATCATTCCATATATAGCAAGTAACAGTAAAAGATAGCAACTTAGGGACAAAAAGTAACAGTTCAAACATTTGGTTTAAAAATACATCATATCTATATAGAAGCAACAGTAAAATATAACAAGTCACACTATATATCAAACAACAGATATACAAATTAGCTTAAAAGTAATTCAATGGAGTATTTTTTTATGTATAGAAAAATACCTTTGATGAAGTGAGTGGGTTTAGAAATAATAGGGCTAAGACTTTTGGTCATGCCCGCGCCCCCCACACCCCACAAGCCCCTCAAACCAAAAAAAACAAAAAGCAAAACGACCACGGAAGGCAGGTGTCGGATGGGAGTAGATTACCAAGAAATACTCATATATAATTCGCTGTTCGTGTGATCGCTCCTTTGGTTGGGTGTTAAGAATGATTTTGGGAGATGGGTTTAAGCATAAATGAGGGTAAAGCTTTAGATTATAGACAAAAATAATGATAAACTTTTGGAAGGGGAAGGGTTTCAAAAATACGTAAGAATTTGGGTTATAGCAGGAAAGATCACAACTTTGAATAGTGGGTTTTTGGGGAAATTTAGGCTTCAGGGTTGAATTAATGGAGGGTATTGTAGTTATGGAGATGCGAGGATATCAGGCAGCATGGACAGAATCATTTGCACCAATACATGAAATTAGTGTTCGTAAGCACACACGAAAGTTATCCTGGAGAAGGATTATTATAGGTATTGGTTTTTCGAACCCACACTATAGAATATGGGTTAGTGTAAACATTAATAGTACATGTGTAATAGTTGTTGATCGAGGATGCGCTCAGATAACTGACTGGGATAGTGCATCGATTTATAGTACGGCCATTGTCGGGTTTTAGGAATCTTGATCGTAGTAGTCGATCAACCGTCCTCGCACTAAATACATGAGCTTGAGTAGTCGTATACCGTGGATGCCTAATTTTGTAGTTCGTCCACTCATTGATGCGGATGCAAGCGTGAATCGAGCTGTAGTATACAAAATACGGATGCCGTTTGGTAGTCATCTTGCATGAGTAATGTGATGAATATATATATTAAAAGAGATTTTGCATAATGATAGATTATGGCTGAATAAGCCCTGAGTCATGGTGGAAGCTGCCGATATGCATTAGAAGCATCGACCTGATTGCTGAAGTTAGTATATGACCGATAGTAGCTTTATTCCTTGTGGGCTATGCCAGGATTATCTATACTATTGTTTATATATCTTCGCAAGGGATAGATGGAAAATATTATTTTTGTTCCGATATTATGATGACTTTCTACCACATCCTTGATATTGCTTCCTTTATTCCTAGTCTCGGAATCGATAATGTAGCAATATCACAGAAATTCGAGACATATGGTATTACTACCATTAGGGTTTCATTGTTTGGATTATTTCACTACGAGCGTACCAAAGTTTCGTGTTGTGGGTTGCTAATTTATTAATTCTATTCTAGATGTTTTATTCTAAGTTGCGTGTATTGATATTTAGTTTTATTTATCAATTTGAAAACATATGGTATACACTGAGGGTTTTCTTAGTTATGGATTAATTCGGCTTGAACGTAAAACACATCTCGTGTTGTAGGTTTCTAAATATTCAATTCCACATTTAAGATAACCGGTAAAAGATCTATGGTAGACTAATGCTATAATAGAAGAAGCACTCCATCACAGTCTAGTAAGCTCTTCCCTGGGGGCTTGATAATAAGAAGATGATCTTGGTGTAAGGGCGCTCTAACACTATCTATTGTAATCTCACTTTGTTATTTTTTATTCGCTTTTCCCTGTGGCGAGTGCAGACTTTAGAGTTCTGTGAGAGACTGTAGGGATGAACAGAACTTTCCAGCATAAGTCCGGCCGTTAGCATGTTTTATAGATGAGAGGACACCAGCAATAGTTGATATTTTCTTTCGGAACATTTAGAGTTTTGTATTTCAAACACTTGTAAAGAGCCTGTGTGCCCTTAGTTTATTTTCAGTTGACTACATATTAAAGCTTACTTATCACATTTATTAAGAGCTTGTAGGTTGTAATATGTTTATTCAGTTGAGGAACATGATTAATTTATTAGATATCTGCTTTCTACATCATGTTTCTATATGCATTTATTTCCGATATTTTTTGCACTATTTTTATACTACACTTATTAATTGATTCCTACACTAAAAGAAAGAGTATATTATAGTGAAAGATGGTGTAAATTGTATTTGTTGCAACCAGTGAGTAGTTGCAGTGTTGATATGTGGATATCTCATGCATTCACAACTTGGACTAGTAGCCCAATGTGTTGAAAATGAGGACGTCAAACAGTGGTTTGATACAAGGCTAAGTTTGTAAGGCGATTCCTTAGGAATCATCCTGTGTTGATGCGTATGAGCCTAGAATAGAGTTTCCTTTAGAATCATGTATGGGGAGTCTGTTAGGAATTTCTAGCAAGTGAGTGAGGACGTATATGTATATCTAGCAAAAATCTTTGAAATTTTTTAATGACAACTATTACTTTATTGATTATAAAGTATTTGCGTGAAAAAAGTATAAGAAATAGTTATTTTTATGTTATAGTTTAAATTTATGCCTTTTACCTGAGGTCTCATTACATGTCTTACTCAAAACTCTCTTCCTAAAATGATATAGATGGCCGAAACGGACGTTGACGGCGGAGAGGATGCCCATGACCACAGATGAGTTACGGCAGGATGGATGTGCCATAGCATGAGCATGGCGCCAGCAGGCTCCACCCTCGAGTAGGAGCAGCATCTCCACGCTAAAGGCCACAGTAGGCGTCACAGTATTGATTACCTCATGTATCCTTGATAGCAGCTAGCTAGTAGTTTTGAGGAGCGTGTTGCAAAACTAGACTCCCACTAAGTAGCACGCACGCACCTGTATGCTACCGACTAGTGATCCATCTATAACCTATCGTAGAGGAAGTCCTAGAGGGTACATCAGGAGTTACACCACGCAACAAGGTTACCTAACAGAGGCGCAGAGCAGGAAACTTAGCTCCGTCTAGTTGAAGCGGCTACCGAGAAAGATAAGGGCATCGCAAAAATTTCAGGGAATCATCTAGAGCCAACTAGTAGCGCCACAAAGTCGGAAGTGAGAGACGTAGGGAATATTCTTTGATCTACTTGACGTGATTCAGTGGCAGAATGCAGAGATTCGGCAGTTTTCAGCCTTAAGGATTTGATGCGGAGGATGGTAATAGGCTTCCGGATTCAGCTCCAGAACAACGGAATGGTAGCTCGCTTGGGAATATTTTGTTTACTTTTTAATGAGTAGTAGCAAATTTCTTCTTGGAAGGGCCGAGAAAAGACTAGAGCATCCAGACTGGAGGGCAGGGACATGGAACGAACAATAGAATTGTGGTCAAGTTCAACAATTCCACAAGGCCCCCGCGCGGTATGGACAACAGCAGAGACGAGCGCACCAACCGACAGTTTCGAGATCTGAAGGCTAGCAGGCCAGATACATGCCATCTCAAATGAGATTTCTCAGGGACAGATAGTCCGGCATATGTCCATTCGCCTTCGCACCGCAGTCTTCAGCCAATGACAAAGTTTATATAGTCGTAACCACATGACGCATGGGTGCAAGTGGAGTCATAGTGGAAAGGTACTTTCTTAGTAAACTCATTCCCGAGCTCGAATTTTCGTTCGATTTCAGGACTTCGGCATATCCTTTATTTCTCATAACGCTTCATGGATAGGTTCAGCTGTAGCACATTCATTAGATATACACATTATCAAGTCTCTAACGCCTTTAGAGAGGTATACCTTATAAGAGAGTATCTGTAGGAGAATGTGTCATCCGTCTAGATGAGTGATGTTTTCATTGATTTGACGCGTTTTGTGGAATGTCGAAATTTTAACGGCATTCTCGGTAATAGATTTAAGCAACTCACAAAGGCACCCACGCAGTTTGTAGAGGTCATTCTAGCTATACATCAAGGAGGTGATGTTGAGCGGACAGAAGTGCCGGATTATGCAA